CAGCAAAGTTTTGATTAACAGTCGGGTGCTGTATGTATTGTACAAAGAGCCATCAAGAAGCACGTGCAGTGAAGCAAGTTTTCCACACCATCACGGGCACCAGGTTGAGCAACTTGGATCTCGCACAGCTCAATGGCTAGATATCATTGGGCCGGGGAATAAAGAGCTTGGACTCGGAAGTGAAAGATGTCATGGCGGCATAAAGCAACTTTCCCATGTCAGAATTATGTGCGGTCAGGATTTGAATCCCATTCAGCTATGCATTCCTGTTGGAATTTCACTCAATCAAATGTCTGAGTTTCCTGATGATGCATGAAGGAACAAAATAGAACTGAACGAGGAAGAGGGGGAAAAGTTCCGATAAAAAAACACTAAGAATGAGAGAACTAAACCAATTGACCACCTAGATTCGCTGGTGTACAAAGGAATTATAAGCATTCGTCACAAATCCAGTCCACCAAACTAAACCGGTACCACCAATGTGTGCGTTGGCGACATACCACATACGAGCCCCAAACCCCTCTCCCCATTCTTCAAACGGGTCCCGTTCCAACGGTCTCCGGCGCCGCGCTTCTCGAAACCACAGAACTCCGCAACCGGTTAATATATATATAAACCCGCACACCACCATCCGCCTACTCCTTTGCCTTACCACTACTGGCCCGCACCGTAATCACATTACATTCCTCTCTCATGGGTGACTTGGCATGCTTGCGTTCCCAGCCCGGAGCTGATCCAGTGTGTACATATCGCTGCTTGACGACATACCGTGCCAAGACCTCACGGGGAAGCAAGTTGGAGCCGGCGTATATTCTTGATGGGGTGCAATCGTATGCAAACGCAATGGAGCGGCAGCACCCGTGGGCGATTTGGCGCAGATTTCTGCATTTGAGTGCCATTGATAGTGGCAGCTTACGCGTTGGGGATTTTGTAGGGGGTCTAAAATGCTAGATGAAGCTCGACTTTCTTTTCTCATTTTACCTTTTTGGAATTTTATTTTATATCTGGGCTGGATGTTAGAAAAACTTACAGCGGAGAATGTACAGTCCACCATCTCGATATTGCCATCCGTGGTTCATGGAACAAGAGAGATTGTGGCCAGACATGCAGATGGTGACACTTTGCTGTTCTCTTCTATGACTGGTTGTGTTTGTGATTTTGAAGTGAAGTGTGTGTGTGTGTGTGTGTGTGTGTGTGTGTGGGGGGGGGGGGGGGGGGGGGTCGTGGGTTATATTTCGGTAGGGGCCGTACGACATTCCCGGCGACCCCTGAGATTGGGGGAGGTTCCCTTATTGGGAACGGTAAGCATGAATGGCAAAATGTATAGATATAGATTTCCTGTGGCGCTTCCTAACAAACCCCTCCCATGCAAGAAAGGTAAGTGAAATTCAAAATCAAGCTTACACCTCAACTCCATCCTCCGGAATCTCACCCACGATAGCAAATTCCCCAATTAAACGGCAAATCCGCACCATCTCAATCTGCAAAGATGTCCAGAAATAACATCATGATAAATAAAACATGTACATTTCGCTAAAATATCCTATCCATACACACGCCGTGATTTTGTATACGATATGTCGTAAGGAGAAGTATTCGCGGAACTTGGAGGTAGCTTCGAGGTTGGGCCTCTAGGTCTCCATTACGCTGCCGCTTTGCCCCTCCCTCTTCCTCCCCTTAGCGGTGAAAGAGGTATCGTTTGCCAGCGGAGTTAATGAATGGTTGAGTGATGGAAGTCGAGTCCAGAGATTGTGAATCGATATCAAACAGTGTTTGGATTGGAGAGGGAAACGACAGGGTTCAAGGAATGATTTTTGCCTGTGTGTTGAGTAGTTACATATTAGAAAGGTTATCATTAAAGAGACATTTTTGGGAGCTAAATTTTGTGCTAGAAAAAGGATACAAAGGAAAGCCCGCATATAAAACAAAGCATCTCCATCCATCTGAATTGCGGGGGATCATGGCGTAGTTACTAGGTGTTGATGAGCATGCAGTCAGTAGGCGTGGTGTTGGCTCCAAGTTGCGGATTGAGTCGTCGGATTCTTTATGAAAAAACAACACAACAGCGATACGAAGAAGGGGTGCTGTTGATTCCTTGCTGACAGCATTCTCATTTTTACATCTCCCCATTCTCCTTTCTTCTCCCCTCCTTTCTCTCTTTAAATTGCTCTCTTCATCGGTCCTTGATTTGCATCTCCGTTTCTTTATTTCTTTCTAGATATATTTTCTCTTCCTGCCGGTACAGCCGTCTCTGTCCCCAAAGCGGGCTACGGAGTATATAACGTGGGGAATTAGGGCTTGGAAGCCATGTGACTCAACGATCATGTGATATTCAGGCACCGTATTGTTACACCCGTAATAATACCGGCAGCAAGAGCCAACTCTGATATAAGTTCCTCTACCTCCTTTCACCGCGGTCCTCCTGCCAAACTCTAGGTATTAATACATGGCTGCCACTGCTTCCGGTAATACAGCCTTCCTATTTCCACGGCCGGACGCAGTGGGGAAACATCGCCAGGTACCTTCATATCTCTTCAACTGCTCAATCTCAACCTCATCTCATCTTCTTCTGCTTCGTATTTTGCTGTATATAACCTATACATATATCTATAAATATCTAGACGTAGATGGCATGTGACCTCTAATCCCTCTCTCGCCTAAACACCCAGTCTCGTCAATCCACGGCTCCCATCTGCCCGACCAGCTCTTTGTGGTATCCACCCCTCGCACCTCGGCATCGCAACAGTCATCATCTGCTCGGTTGGGGGAGCTCCGTTCTCCTCCGAATTTATCGACGCCGAACATACTCCAGCCATTCCTTCGAAATAAGCCCTACAACTACTACAATTACTCTCCTCATCACACTTTCACCCTCTCCTCAACCCCTCCTCCAACCCCCCCCCCCCCCCCCCCCCCCCCAAAAACATCCTAAAGGCACCATTCCACAGGTGCCTTACAACACCAACCATGTGGAAGGCTTCCGACCGTCTGATAGACACGATCCGTCACTATGCTTCGTTTCCCGCTACTGGTGTCTCTCTGAGGCAAATGGTCCGGTTTGGAGAGAGGCCTTCAACGGGTGTGTTTTAAAATCTCTTACAACTTACATTTTGAAATTGCGCATGTTGCATCCATTTCATGCGTTAGATAGGCTTAGGCAAGCAATTGCTAACCTGTAGGGCCCTTGCTGATCCTCGTGGCCACTCAGGTACCCTCTTTCGTGCTTCCCAGTTTCTCTCCGAAGAGCTGCCCATTCGCCTTGCGCATCGCGTACAGGAACTGGGTGACCTTCCAGATGGCTTGAATGAAATGCCATCAATAAAAAAGGTCCGCGATTGGTATGCACAATCGTTCGAGGTATGAATCGCCACCCCCTCTTGACTCATTCTTGCAGATATGGTTGTTTTCCACTTCAAAATATTCTTAGTAATTTTGTGGCGGAATCACAGGAAATCATCACTCTCCCACGGCCTACGCTTTCACAAGAAGTCAGATCTCGTCTCCTCCGCCCAAGCAAGCAGAACGGCCGGGATGCCAACGTTCTGGACGAAGCTACCCCCAACCCAAGCATAACAGACGGCCAATATCGATCGTCCACGACTTCCATTCTCAAAGGAGACGAGTCATGTGCCAATGGACTCACGAACGGCAGCAATGGAAACGGTAAGAGAACAGGAGCTGCAAGTCGAAGATACTTTGTTGCCACAGATGATGGCGGAGACTGGCCACCAGAGCTCAATGAATACAACAACAAGTTCTCCAAGACGCTGCAGCACATCAAGCGGAGGCACGATGGCGTCGTAACAACTGTAGCACAGGGTATCCTGGAATACAAGCGCAAGAGACAGCGCATGCAAATTGACTCAAACATCCAGTCGTTCCTGGACCGCTTCTACATGTCCCGCATAGGAATTCGCATGCTCATAGGCCAGCATGTCGCTCTTACCGATCAAATCTACGTCCACCACCCCAACTACGTCGGCATAATATGCACAAAGACAAACGTTCGCGAATTGGCTGAGGAAGCCATCGAGAACGCCCGGTTCGTCTGCGAAGATCACTACGGCCTCTTCGACGCTCCCGAGGTGCAGCTGGTGTGCAAACCCGATCTGAACTTTATGTATGTCCCCGGCCACCTATCGCATATGCTCTTCGAGACGTTGAAGAACTCCCTGCGTGCGGTTGTTGAGACTCACGGGGCTGAAAAGGAGGCATTCCCCGTTACCAAAGTGATTGTCGCTGAGGGCAAGGAGGATATTACGATTAAAATCTCCGACGAGGGTGGTGGTATCCCCCGCTCCTCGATCCCGCTTGTCTGGACGTATATGTACACCACAGTTGATCAGACACCCAGTTTGGACCCGGATTTCAATAAGAGCGACTTCAAAGCGCCCATGGCTGGATTCGGGTACGGATTGCCGATAAGTAGGCTGTATGCGAGGTATTTTGGTGGTGATTTGAAACTGATAAGCATGGAAGGGTTCGTACTAACTAACCGTCGCAATACAATTTGCTCCCTTTAAATATCACAACCAACTAACCTATTCCTTGTTCTTGTTGAAAAATAATATAGCTACGGCACAGACGTCTACCTCCACCTAAACCGCCTCTCCTCCAGTTCCGAACCGCTCCAGTGACAATTACCTGTCATGAGTGATGGCATCCCACTCGTGCAATCTTCACGACACATATACTACCCGTTCTACGACGATAACGTCTCGTCTTCGGCAACAGCTACTTCACGGGCTGTATCACGAGTGCTATCCCAGGGATTGACGCCGATGAACATTGAAGCGATACGAGCTCGCAAGCGCGCGGGGGGGAGCGGTCGAGAGGTCTCCGTGCGCAAGCAAGTTGGGGATGCGGTTAGCTTGGTTAATGAGGAGAGAGGTCGCTGAGGTGGATTGGAGTGAAATTGGTGTATGTTGGACACGGTACAAGAAAATCTATTCTTCTCGATGGATGATGGGGCGGGGGAAACGAGTCTGTCGGCACCTGGCGACAAATGTGGAGAGAGTGTCCGCTGCAGTGTAGGTCTGGTTCATCTGGACGATGCGGGTTGTTTGTCTCTCAGCGGATGCTGACGGCCCGGGGAATGTGTCTGCCATGTCTGCTGATTCGGCAATCACATCCGCTGTACATTCCCCTATCGGATTCAATTAGCAAATTGCAATAGGAAGAGAAGCCGGACACGGAAACCCCCTGAAAAAACCCATATTTCTCATCGACTTCTGCAACAACCGAAACTGTCAGAAGAGCAGGAGAAAGTACATATTGAGAATATTCACAGCGGAGAATCGAAACACGCTTGGAAAGAAACAAAGCCCTTCACATCATTTGCCTCCAGCATATGATGCATGTTGAACAACATCATCCTAACATCCAATCTCCAACAAAACTGACCGATCCGACGCCCTCAAAATAACTTCGCATCCCGATCCAACCACCAATCCTCCTTACCCCGTAGATTCGCGCTGCTGTGCGTGGAAAGGAATTCTCCAATTCCCACGATCCTCCTATCAACTTTGCCTACTCACCTTTCAACGCTCAGCTTGTCCCATCCCTGACACATGAAGGCAGACAGAGCTTGATTATTTGGAAGGAATGTGAGTGGTTGATAAGGTGATGAATGATCAACGCTTTTCAATTCATTTTTGATGAACCACCTTAAGCACTGTCAAGCAGCATTATTATGTTTCTCACTGTGCATTGTATGTTTTGGTTAAAAGCTCTGCATATACGTAACATACTCTAGGAATTTTAAGAGAGGAAGAGACTGTATACATCTCTCTGAGAAGATGTATTGAGAGAGAGCAGAGTTATTTTTCACCCTTTTTTTTTTTTTTTTTTTGGGGGGGGGGGGGGGGCGGTGTTTGGTCCTTATTGCATCTATATTTTAGGTTTATTAGCCTGAAAAACATATTGTACAGTACATACAATGCACATACACAGAAATCAATTAAACAAATACATAAATAATATAGTCTAAAATCATATTTAATGCCTTCTTTCGTTGATATTAACAAATTGAGAAAATGACTCTAGACTGAACTTTGTCATTGAGCTCGGTTTTGAAAGAGATATTTACTGATCTTGAAGAAAAGAAAAGAAAAGAATGAAATGAAAAGATTCGAACCTGTGACATCTTGATCGAGTATATCGTCGTATTGATTTTTCTCTTCACAAATTCTTTTCTCTTTCTCCTGAACAACAGTAATAGCTCACATATAGTCCATGGCCTCAGGCGCCTGACTTCACCCATAATGAAAACACAAGGACAAACTCAAATAATTATCTGGTTCTAACCCAACAACACCAAACGCCCTTCTACCATATCCATATCCATATCCATCATAATCCCATACTCCAGCCAACTCCGACCTTTCCCTTTCTCCAACCGTTACCCCGCCTATCCGACCCCCGACCCCGTTGCCCTACCAGCAAGCCTTGCGCTCCTCCTCATACCCTGCCGACCACTTCCACTCGCTCCCGCCCCTCTTCCCTTTGCACTTCGTCTCGTCAAACTCCGATCGCCACTGCCACCTCCATCGCTATCCCTAGCATTATCAGCAGATGCCGATAAACCCGCAGACCGACGCCCTTCATCCCCATCACTCTTATTCTGCCACCCGCCATCAACCTCCAGAATATCAACGATAGGAAGCTGTTTTTCGCTTGGATATGACGACGTTGGTATGCCCGTTACTGCTGTGCCGGCTCCAGATGTGGCGGCAGTTGGGGCGCCGATATGTCTCATGGAGGTGGGTTTGGATGAAGCGATCGCGGCCCAAGTTGAAGAATTAGTCGGTGTGGAGGTGGTGGCAGAGCTGGTAGGTAGGACAGGCATGGGCATCTCCTTCCGTTTCAAAAATTTGCCTTGCAAGGCGAAGGCATGTCTGTAGTTCTCTGGCATGTTGAGGCCGATGTAATGGTGTTGGAAGCGGCGGCGGGTGTCAGGGATTGTCTAAGTGAGATTTTTTTTTTATTTTAGTGTACATATTACTCCGGTTTAATACTTTAATTTGAATGGCATGCATCGCATACGGGAATCATAGAAATTTCGACAAGAATAAGGGAAATGCATACATGGATATGGCAAAAAGAGATGTAAACATACCTCATAATTCGCCACGGCATGGTTCATCAGCAGCTCCTGATTCGTCAATACGCTGAGGGAGGCATGGCGGCGTTCGCGCAGGTAGACTTTGAGGCGCATATGGCTGACAAGCGGCGGATGGATTGGCAGGTCTGCAGAGCCGAAGTGGGGCTGCGGTTTTGGTCTATATTGATCGCGACGGCCTAAAGATTGTTATTACATATATTGTTGGTTGATAACGAGATGGTAATGTCTGCAGAATGACAATACTAAATGAAGAAGGGAGAGGATGGGTTAAAATGCAATTATCCTCAGATACTCCCCTCCCCTATCCCTGCAACAAAGGGAGAGGTGAAAAGGAGACAGGAACTAATAAATACTAACCAAAATGCTCATCCGCATCAATTTCCTCTGCTTCCTCCACCACATTCACAGTATCAGAGCCACCATGTCCACCCCTTCTCCCACTCGCACTCGCACTCATATTCCCCTGTCCCTGACCCTGACCTGTTCCAAACACTTGCATCCTAACTTGCTGCGCATAGTCCTGTGCCTCTGCCAAGCGGACATGAGCTTCAACTTGCTCCTGCATATCAGTGGCTTCCAGTATACGCGTCCGCGCCTCAAGGACACGATTATACGCTGTTTGGAGGAGTTGGCGGGCCTGCCAGGATAGGTTTGGCGGGGGGGTGTAAGTTGTTGGGTGGGACTGGTTGACACTCATGGCTTTCGTATTATGGGTGATGTATGTACTGGCTAAATAAGACAGGAGAATGAATATAGACTGGGTGTTTCAACGGGTTGGAGATGTGGAGTGGGTGGTTGATGGGTATAGAAGTGGGATGAGGGATAGATATTATATATGTCTAGGTATGTAGGATACACGTGGACCCCTATGACCATTGTCACAAGTTAGCCAATTACCCATTCAATTATGTTAAACCAGATAACCATATATATATATATATGTGTGTGTGTGTGTGTGTGTGTGTGTGTGTATAACAGAATTACACGGACAACACCCAGTTCATGAGGGCCAAACTCCAATAAGGCATAAACACGGAAAACAAAAGAAATACAGGAAAAATATATATTTACAATACCAAAGATCACCCCGCAATACACACTCCGCAACCCTCCAATCTCCCGAGCGTCTTCTAAACCTCTTAGCCTGACTTATCACCCCTCAAACCAGGTACCTGGGAAGCCCGAGCGATGCGCCTCAAGCACGACATACGCTAGCCAAGCAGCAACCGACGCAAGCTCAGCATTGTTTTTCCTTTGCAAGAACTACTTGATTTGATAAACAAGAGTAGAATAGATATATCAGATTGGATAGGTCGTTTTGAGCAGACTTGAAGAAGAGAGGAGTGGTCTCCTGAGATAGATGCTGCTTGTTATTTTGTGGTGTCGACGATTTGTTGATGTTCGATTATGCTAATGTCATCGGCGGGGTAAATTAGACTGTGTTGGGCTTAGCGTGCACGGACGGAATTATGCTTATTGTTAAGTGCCAACTAAGCCGGAAGATCTGATTGGCTGATGATGATTTCGAATGTAAAATATTAAATCACTGTATTATTTCTTAACTCTGTAAATATATGAAGATTTTTTATTTTTAAATTATATAAAAAATATTTTAGCTATTTTATTTAAATTAAATTAAAATATTTAAATATAATTTCTAAGATTTTATATAAAATTTATTTATATTTTTATTTATATATTTTTTTTTAGTTTTTAACTTATTAATATTAATCAAATTTAAAACTTTGTATTTGTTAAATCAGATTATATATATATTTTTAATTATTAAGCAATTATATATTATATTCTTAAAATTCAAAGAATAGATCTCTCTCATTTATAAATATTATTCATTAACCTAGAAATTCTTCTTCAATAAAGATCAGCTTTTGATTATCCTATTGAGAATTCAAGTGTATGGTTGAATCTTGTAGTTGGTAGAAAAGACTTGAAAGAGCAACATCATACGTCTGTACGTCTTGACAGTCACTCGCGTGTTTGAAAATTGCCTAATTTCATAAGCTCCAAAGACTAGAAGAAGCCTCTCTTCCCAATTGAAAGCTTGATATTTTGATTTGATTGGAATATTGATTGACTTCATGGATTCAGTGGCTGGAAAGAGAACGCTGTTCCAGTAGGTGATCGCTTTCGTTACAGAGAAGTCGATGAAATTAACAAAAAGGCTACCTCAAGGGGCCCCAAGGTAGTCCTCCTCTTGACCGCCCTCCCCCACGGTCTGAGAATTGCTACCCCCTGGAAAAATTGTACTTTGCGGAAAAGGACAATATTAAAAACAAAGAACGAAGAAAAGCCAAACTCCCAGGTGTTGATACACAGGACAGAATAACCTGACGCCTTCTATCCCAATGCGAGCTATACAGCTGAGGCATGTGCTCGCGTATGTGTTTATCCCCATATTTTCCCACACGCGCTATGATATACAAGGCATGAACAAAGGACATTGGTTAATATATACAAAAAGAACAAGGGGTAGGGAAGCAAGGAAAACAGGAAGCAAACACGTCGAATCGGCTCCAAGAGACCAGGGGCAGGATCAAAATAAACATTAGCATGTGCGTTCGTTGTTTCGTCGATATAGGTGTAGTGTCAGATTGGGTCGACTTGAGTCAAACATTGCATCTATGCATGTATGAATTTTTGGGCCACGGATAACGCGTTTGCTCCCTACCAACAAAAACAGTCAGCAAAAATCCTCTAAAAAAGAGAGGCAATAGGAGAGGGATAGGGAAATACACACCATCTCGTCTTATTCGGATTATTATAAGCATCTTGATGGGTCCGAATATACCTCGTCGTTTCATAACCAGTCGGATCACACGTAACACTCTCCTTATCGGGATCTTGATAAATCCTGACATAATCAAACCGCATCGTCGCCGGCATCAACTTCGCTAATCCGGTCAAATTCAACGGCGCGAATGTCTTGGACATTCCAAAGTTCAATATAAGCGCCATGGGCTCGACGGGGATGATACGCTGCCCTACGTTACCGTTGGGTCCCAGGGCACGAGCGTCTAGCTTCCATGTCTTGTCTGCACCAACGAACCAACTTATTTCTCCGTTTTTGCCGGGTTTGTATTCGAAGGCGTAGACTTGATACTCTTTGCCGTCGTACCATTTGTTGTTTATATTTGTTATGCCTGACACGGCTTGTTGGTATGTTCCACCTCGATAGTTGTTTATGGAGGTTATGGACGGGTTGTAGAGTTCGTAGAATTCTGGACAACGTGAGGTAAGTTATGACAGGAGCTAATAAAAGGGGAATGTTGGGTGGGCAAGGGAGGGATGGGGAGGATAATACCAAAGTTAGGCATATACCACACATCAAACGGAGCGACCTGTACACTCTGCGACACATCACCTATCGTTGACGGTAACTTTGGATCCAGGGCGTGCACACTTGCCTCAATAACATCGATTTCAGGGGCACTTCGCGACTTGCCCGGGTTTGGATGATCCTCTCCCTTGCAAGTGCAGGCTGGCAGCCGCATGCCAGGCAGCCAACTAATACCATCCGTCGAGCTCTGGTTGGGCGTAATGCCGGCATCGCATATGTCATCGTAGCTATACGGCCACATTCCTTCCGTAGTCGCAGCGTAGCCTGGACGGCCCAGATTACCCATTGTCCAAAACCCTGGCCAGAAACCTGATGTGTCGCCACGTCCTGGAAGAGAGATGCTGGCTTCTAAGCGGCCACCAGTAAAACATAGTTTATTCCAGGATTGGAGCATGCCGGAGCGATAATCCAGACCATGGTTTTTGAAAGCATCGAATCGAATTTCGAGTTTTCCGTTTCTCGTCGTTATCGCGTCCGGGTCGTACCACTTGGGAACAAGTTAGCAAATACATATAAAACCGAAAAATATCTAGCAATTGATTATTTAAACCATTAGACACACCTCTAGATCCTCCGTCACTCCATACCAAATATCAACCGCCTGAAAGAACGGGTCGTCCCCTTCGTAGAACGTCCGTCCATCTTTGTTGAACTCGTCGGAAAACTAATAATTAGTGGCAAGCGATGGTTAGTTAGTCATTGGCGTGATAACAACATCAACAACTAAACCCATATCGACTCGAAAGACAGGATGCACTCACCACCAACTTCCACTGCTTTCCACTCGAAGAGGTAATAGATCTCACAGACTGCGGCGTATCCGGATCGATAAGAGATGTTCGAATATTTTGAAGATGCGGAATGGGACCAACGTCCAAACACAACGAGTCATCCGCGCAAGTCGGTTTTTCTCCCTCCTTCAGTTTGTCGAAGAACGTCCTAAATAATAATAATAAAAAAAATCCTCAGATCAGTTTGAAATTTCAAAAAGTCTTCAAGAAGAGGAATTTTGAAAGGGCAAAAAATAAAAATAAAAATAAAAAAATAAAGAAAAAAGAAAGAAGAAAAAAAGAAAGTGCATACAAAAGGGGATAAATGATGAAAAGCGTCATAGCGCCAAGAAGCACAATGATAAGCCCAGCGATATTCAAAACGCCTCTCCGTGAGCACACCTCACAATCCCGATCTGAATCTGACGGGTCCGGGTTATGCAGATAATCGTCCTTCTCCACGTCCTCGGGATAAACCAGCAGATTATCATAATCGGGCATTATAGCATATTTCTCCACGACAGTCTGAGTATTTATTTCATCCTCAGCGACACTGCTTACTCTGGAGTGATCCCAATACTTCCCAGACGAATTCAGAAGATGCCCGCGACTCTCCCAACTCCCACCTTCTGAGCTCCAGCTTGTCCTCCGCGAGGAGAAATTTGAATATCCCATCGAGACATCTTTGTCAGTTTGATAGCGACGGGAGTAATGTGGAGGGGCCAGGTGGTCTGAAGAGTCGTTGGTTTGAAACGACGAACCTTGTTGGTATGCGGGAGAGTATGGAGGCTGTGGGGGGGTGATTAGGTAGCAAGAAGGAGGGGAAGGGTCTTGGAACGGATCTTTCTGGCCCTCTCTGGAACTCGTTTTGATTTTGGGTGGAGGTGGTTGTTTATGGAGATGATTTTGCGGCATGATGGTTTTTTCACTTTCAATATGGAGGAAGGCGGGGGCTTGAGGGAAGATGAGGGGAGTCGGAGGCCGGATGGGGGGACAAGTCCAATACGCTCAAGGCGGATAACCACCACCATGTCCCGGATAGCAAAGATTCCAGGGGAGACGAGTCTTAACGAGAGAAATACAAGTTAACGCGCGGGACTCGAGAATGCGATGCTTGGCCTAGGTAAATGTAAATGAATGGATGACAGCAGCGACGAAAGGGATCGAATAGGAGGCTAATGAGTGGCTGGGAAGCAAGTGGTAATATGTCGAGATAGGAACCTCGTTTTAACCTTAGAACAGTGGTCAGTGGAAGGCAGGATACTGATACTCAGGTGGACTTGGATGTTGAAGATGTGCCCAAGTATGCGCAAAGAACGCAGCGATGGTAACTGCATAACAAGGTTTTCTTTAAAAAAAAAAAAAAAAAAAACCCCTAGGTTAGAAATAAATAAACACACCTCTTGACTGGCCTGGTGATGCTGGCGATGCTGGTAATGGATGATGGATATACTTTGAAATCCCGAGTAACGAACGGATGGGTTGAATGATTTGACCGTCCACCGACCGCGCGCGCTCTGCACATCAAGGACGCTCACTTCCCAATTGAATAAACTTCTAAAGGCTTGGGTCAACTTTAGGGTCCCTCAGATTGCTTAACCAGTATATAGCTAATTGCGCTGCTAAAGATCCTGGATGAGTAAGAGTCTTTTGTGGATCTTCTGCGGAGGGCGGAGATTTGACTTGCCCACGGTTCGAGCGATATAGATTAATCAGTTGAGGCAGTGAACTGGGTAATGGAATGGGGCAGTGTGAAGGACAGAGGGGCAGAAGAAGGAGATTAAAAAAAGAAAATCACCGAGGGACCCAGAGTAGAGGGCACAGCAGAAAGAGAGTAGAGAAAATAATAGAAGGTAGAAAGAAAAGAGGCGGGGATTATTTAAGACTGACAGAAGCTGGAAACACGTAGTTACATATACACAAACCTACATACCACATTATTATTACGACAGACATTGACAGACAGCACTCGGATATTACGCCTACAGCAACCCATTTATTATTCCACAGAAGTATACCTATGATTGGGATATTCTCTTTTGTCCGGACTCGGGGAGCGGTTTTAATAAAGACATGATCTATCACAATACAATTACAACCTTGGACGGCCTCCCTGAGTGATACGCGTATATCTAAGGGTCACATATCACCGGATGCTACTGCGCACGTTACGTACAATCAGTCATATGATAAATAGGCAAACGTCAACTATCTCTGGTTATTCCCTGTCTGGATGCCATGTTTTCTAACACGCAAAGCCGTGGGAGTGCGGTAGATTGGCTGGGACGCATGTCAGCGTCAGCATTGGCAGCCGTCAGGGTTATCATAACATAACGCTGTTTCTTGTCTCGCTCTTGTCTCTGGCTGGGACACCTTCTAGATCTTTCAGTCGGGCGATGACTTCCTGCAACCTGTCATGTGTGTTGTTACTATTATTACCATCGCGATCAGGGGAACGTCGAACAAAGGGGTGCAGACAAAGTGCATGGAAGACGTTGATGTATGATCGACGTGGAGTTAATCTGCAGATCAGGCGGGAAGGGATTTGATTCGAGGAAAAAGGAAATAAAAGCGAAACAGAGAGGCAAAAAAAGAGGGGGGGAGAGATTCTCATTCGCTGCAAGCCGACATTGCTTTGACGGAGCATCCAACCAAACTAACGCCAACAAGTTAATGCGCTCGTTGCATCTTTGGATCCGGGATGCAGGAGTGGGGTGATATCAAGTCCCTGGTTGGCTGGAGGAGAGTTCCAGGGGTTCGTCCTCGTCTATCCTTAAATTTTCTTGTTTCAAGGCTCCATTGGGCGGGGAGAGTGTGGATATAACAAGAATAGCCGTGGAAAATTCAAACTGTGCAATTTTGTGTTTCTATGTGGGCAGCAAATATACGGGAGTAAGTTTGGGTAAACGTCTACAATGAATGCAATATTCATGGAACGGTGACAACCACCCCAGTTTTGTTGGAAGAGAACAGAACAATTCCCCGTCCGTGATCACGCCAACCAGCAGTTAAATGTTCATTCAACGGCCCAACGGATAATTCATACACCGTTACGGAAAAGATAATAAACCATAACTACTTCCCCATATCGCCATTCCCAAATCTCCACCCTAACTTTCAACTGCCTTTGCCTTCAGCCCCACAATTCTCCCCTTTCCGTTCCCACGTTCCAGTGCAAGCACCCAGTACTCGGCTCTGGTCTCATCCATCTGCACCTGATACACCTTCACCTCCGCAGCTTCTGCATCCCGCGGATTGCCACCCGCCACCGCTGTCCTGACCGCGTGCAGGACGTCGGCATATTGGTTTTTCGGATCGAAGGATGCGGGTGTAAGGATGGTTATTTGCACGTCTCTAGCTGCTTCTGTGGATAGATTTGGGAGGATGAGGGATTTGAATTGGTCTGTTTTATTTGTTGGTTTATTTTATTTATTTAGTTTCGGTGTTAGATACGATGGGTAGGGTAATAACGGGTAGTTGTTGTGCTATAGAGAATATGTCTTGAACAGATCCCAGATAACAGGAAAAGTTATTAGGAGAATAGGTGTAAGGGGAGAGAGAGAGTTTGTTTGTAAGGTGGTTCGAACGTACCAGGGGTCGGCCACCGTCCCTCCGCCGCCCCGCTCCAGTCCAGCGCAACACCCTCGAATGCCTCGTCTGTGTCGGAGATGTAGTACATATCCACATCGCTGAGGACAGTTGGGATGCGCTGGGAAGAGGACACTGTGGTTGTTTGTATATGCTCTTGCTTTTTGCTTGAAGTAATTCCCTTGGAGGGGTCTTCATTTGCCTTGTCGAGGAAGGCTGTGTAGGCGTCATCGGAGGACATGTTTGTTGTTGATGGTGGGGAAGATGGTGATGCTGATGTAAATGTGGATTTCGTTGGAGAGCTCTGGTTATTGATGTGCTTGCAGTAGTGGTGGTAGGGAGAAGTGGAGAAGGGGATTTTGTGTCTGGGACCGATGACGTGAGTGGTGTTAGTGGTGGTGGTAGTGACAGGCTTTACGGATAATAATGATGATGATGATGGAGGAGGCAATGCAGGGAATTGCTTCGGTCGTGTCTTTGTGGTATGGTGGCGGTGATAGAATGAATGAGATCGTATATTTGAAGACCTGGACAGTCTTTGATTCCACATTCCTCCTTTTCTTTGCAGGTCCACTTGGAGCCCCTTAAATATAATTCTACCGTGGAAAATAAATTGCGGATGCCTTGTTTTTAGATAAATTTTGTTCATTTAATGAAAAATTTTTATTTACCACTTTGAAATCTAGATCATGTGATTCATGGGCCATTTTGAGGCCATCACAACATGGGAAACATAGTTTGTGTAAAATATTGCTCATTTGACAATTACCGTTATCTATACCAATCGAGGCTGTTTTGCAAGTATTTAATAACTAGAGAGTTCATGGTTTAAATTAAAGAATAACTGATTGTCGTAGAGATGGTGGAGCAGCTCTCAATATTTAGGCAAAGCCTTTTGATATCTATGAGCATCTAGGCAACTCACTTTCCAAACCCTCAGGACCTGTACTTCTGTGCCAGCTTCTTCATAATCCCTACAGCCTTTGATCTATACGACCCACCAAACAACGCATAATGATTAAGATAATGATACCTACAAAACCAAACAATTAGCAAACACTCACACTTCGCTATATTAAGCAGTAAAAAGAAGCAGAGATGGGCAAACTAAAGAGAAAGAAAAAAAAGGAATATGGAACTTACAACTCATACAAACTAACCCGATCCTCATACTCCGCCACCGGCTCCAGCTTTGGAACAAGCCGGTGATAATCCTCTAAAAACCCACCCCCGAACCCCCCGAACATCTTCATAATCCCCAATTCATACTCACTCTGTCCATAAAACGCAGATGGATCAAATATCACCTCCTCAACCTCTCGCCCACCCAGACTACCCCGCCCCGAATTCCCAGACCACAAATCCCCATGCACAACCACGGGCGTCACGCCCTTCCCACCATTCAAATGCCCATCGCCTAACAACCGCAGCACAACGCGGGACGCAGTCGCTTCCACCAACTGCCGCAATTCGCCGTCCGCACCATTACTACGCTCAGCGCGCTGGAGGATAAACTTTAACCTGTTCTCCGCGAAGAATTCGGCCCAGGATGACTTGTATGAGTTGTCCTGCGGCGTGTCGCCGCAGCAGGTCGTGACGGGGAATCCGAATTGGGGCGTTGAGTAACCTTCCGGGATTGGGGCCGGGGTTGTGTGTAGTTCCGCTAGCTTTTGCGCGAGGGACTTGTGGGGGAGTTGCTGGAAAGGGGATGGATCGTGGTTTGGTTTGGGGCGGGAGGGTTCGAGGAAATCGGCTACTATGAAGTAGGTTGAAGGGGAGGAGGTGAGGGTGCCCCAGCCGAAAGATTGGGGGCAGAGGGTTGGCACGATGGCGTGGATGGCTTTTAGGGAGGCATCTTCACCTGAATTTTTGATATGGAGTAGTTTTCTAGACTTTAGCGGGGGGGTATGGAACTTTGGGAAAGCCTGCATTGGCAATTGGTTGTGGAGAGTTGCGGGGAAGTAACTTCGCTGTAAGTAACTAGTTGGTTAAATACATACCTTGAACCATCACCCTCCCTGTGGCCCCCGTTGCTGTTTTCAGGAAGAAGCGCTTTTCATTGCCGTCCGCCAGTGTCGTCGTGATTTTGGCGGCGGACGCGCTGCTGCAGCCACCACCCGTGCGGGTTACGGTTGTGTTCGGCGCATCTAGCTGTAGAAGCTCAATAACAGCGGGGTCGAGCCTCATTTTAATACAAAATGTGTATACGTATGCCTATGATGTGTTGTAGATAACCTGTATGACTTGATGCGGGTATCAGACGTGGGGGAATTGAAACAATTCGACAAAGTAAATCGGCTTCTTAGTTACATTTTACCATATATTTCTTTGGGGGTTTGAGATTCCTCATGGGATTTGACATCTCCACTAGGATTTGATAGGTGGTGGGATGTTGGAAGTTGGAGGGAGAATAACTTCTGTATCAGAGTTATGACGTAATGGCTTTTGAAAGGAGCTACTTGGACATGCAATCTACGACTCGGGAATGACAAGAAGCGGCTGGTGAGTAGGTGACGATATCATCTTCACTTTGGTATCCTGTGCTTGAGGAGGTATCATTTCAATATTAATATTTTCCGTGGCGGATAATTTCTCCAGGCTCTTCGGCGCAGTTCATGCCGCATTAGTTACATGGTAGGTAGACGGTATACCAAGGTAGGTTTAATAGAGCGAAACATCATGGATACTACAAGGGTAAACGAAGATATTAAAGGTATTGGGAAGCTCATTTCTACACCTATTTAAATGGGCTTGGCCAGGATTTATCCTCGACCGTCGCCTCCCTTTCACGAACCTAATACGCAACATAGGGGAGGAAAGAATCATAAGAGTCTTTCCGTTTTCGTCTTTACGGCAAATCATGAAACAAAAAGCAAAAAATCGAAGCAGGTATTGAATCAAGAGAGAGAGAAAGAACACCTATGCATTCGCACCGCAACCTACACCGACAGATCGAAAATAAAGAGAAAAAGCAAAACTTTGTGGGACAGTGGGCAAGACCAGATTAAGAAATTCATGCAGCAGTAACGAGATCCTTCTTGAGGGTGCCCATGAACGCCCGCTTCTCTGCTGGGGTCTGGAATGCTCCGTGTCCGAATTTCGACGAGGTATCGATCCATTTCAACTCGACCTTCTCCAACGCCTTACGGCTCACCTGTGGGTAGAGTGTCTTCCGCAGAGTGAGAACCCGCTTCTTGACACCTGGGACGGAGCCCTTGAGCATGACGTAGTCATTCTTGACCTCGCCGTATCGGACGAAACCGCCCATTCTGTGGGATGAATTGTTAACATTTGGTTTTTGGTGGTGCTGGTTCAACATTCAAATGATAGAAAACTTACGGTGTGATCTGTTTCTTCGAGACGTCAAATTCAGTCGAGGCATTGCCCTCATCTGAGCCTTTGCCAATGCGGTAGATTTTGTGGTTGCACGATGTTCGGTGGTGATAACCATCTTGACCCGCACGAGCAACAGTCCACTGGACGTGAGATGGATGCCAGGCACCAATGCAGGCAACCTTTCGGAGACCCTTGTGTGTCTTACGAGGAAGCTTTTTGGTTCCCCATCTGCTGGTGACGCCATTGAATCCATGACCCTTGGTAACTGCAATAACGTCTATCATCTCATCCTGCTCAAACACGCTGTCGATCTGGATGGGTTTCTCAAACAGACCGTGAGCGAAGTCCACCTTGTCCGCAATGCTGCCACCGTTGACTTGGACTTCCATAAGATGAGCCTTCTTCTGCTTAAGGGGGGTCTTGCGGATTTGAGTGTGGGCAAGGAGACGGACAACGGTGCAGTATTTCTTGATCCGTTCGAGTTCGCGAGAGACGGAGGCACCGGTGTTTTCAGAGTGGTTCTTGGCGTATTTAGTGAAGGCCTTCTTCTTACTCTTATACCAGTTCTTGTAGAAGCGTCTCTTGACCTCATCGCTCAAGTGTTCGGCCCAGACGGTAGTGAGAGATCGGAGACCACGGGGAGTCTCGATGTATCCAACAACACCAACAGCGATCATCTACAGAGACAAGAGAAAGGCGATGTTAGAATCATTTATTCCCTGCCAATCGCATAGAAGGAAAAGCTTCAATCCTACCGGAGGGGTCTCAACAATGGTAACAGCCTCAACGATCTCCTTCTTGTGCATCTTGGCACCAGGACGCTCGAGATCACGGACAACAGTGGTCATGCCAGCCTTGTAGCCCATGGCAGCCGTGAGGTGGACAGGCTTCTTGGGGTCATCTTTGGGGAAGCTGTTTTTTTGGCACACAAAGTTCAGTATTCCATCCCATATCTATCTACGAAACTATCAATTGACTAACCTCTTAACCTTCCCCCTATGTCTGGCACTGCGCTTCCTGGGAAGGAAGGCAAGAGAGCCTATAAACATTGCCTGTCAGTTAAATTGCACAAATATACACAACTGAGCTCACTACGGAAGCGAGGGATGAATTTTTACGAACCATGCCGAGGCGCTTCGAATTTCCGGTGACTCCTGGAATTTAGACAAAAATTATCAGTCCTCTGTATTTGATATACCCAACTAATGGCACGCAGCAGCATGGAGCAACTCACATCTTGACCCTGTCTGTGGTTAGTTGACGAAGTGCTGAGTGTGTCCTGTCCACAAAAATCGAAAGTTCGACGTTGATTATTTTGTCCCAATTGACCAGTGTGGGCTGACCTAAGCGATGTCTTGGCACTTCTTTCTACTTCGGGGTTAGCGCCACTGATACCCACTCGAATGTGCCTTAAAAGAAGCTCAACATTTAATATCATTCAATGGATTTTGACAGCAGATGGAGCCTTCGAAATTCTACAATTTCGTGTCAATTCAGAATGAAAATGGATAATATCATTGAGTTTCATAGACACGGCGTACGCTTTGTTGCATCGGAAGGAACCTCATAGATTGCACGCACACGGCTTATCGCCTCAAGAACCATTCGTTGACTGGATTGGCTTTTCTTCTAACGAAGTCCACCATATCCCCAGATATCCAATCAACCCGAAGACGGTCATAGAGGTGGCTATACTAAGGCAAACGGGTGAAGAATTACCCCTCACCAACTCCCATTCGGATACGGCTCACTCTTCGGCCCTTTGGTCCATCCATCAGTCCTCCCATCCCAGTACTGCAGATGGATCTTACTCCAATCAATCCCCTCATCACCCGTATCAATCGTTAACCCATTCACTGTCAAAAACTTAACATCGCCATATGATCCATCAATGAAGCAGGAGACCCCACACGTCTTGCAGAAGCGGTGGTATGCTTTTTTCCGACCAAAGGTGTATACAGACAGCTCCTCCAAGGACGCCGGGGAAACCAGTTTGAACTCCTCCTTTTCTGCCACGCGCACGGCTATCGAGCCCTTTTTTAGACAGATAGAGCAGTTGCAGCGGCTCGGGATTGCCTTGCCAAGGTCGACGTTCACCGTGTATTTCACGAAGCCGCAGTGGCAGCTGCCGGTGTAGAGCTTTTTGGAGTTAGATTGGGTTGATTCGGTGGCCATACTGGTTTTCTTTCCTTTGAACTTTTGGCTTTGTGGGTCGGACGTTTAATTGTTTGGGATTTTAAGCTTTTATGGTGAAGATGTGGGTATTTCAGAGGTTGAAGCGAGTGGGAAATGACAGCCTTACACATCTAGAGACTTAAGTTTGCTTTAAAGGGCGAATACAGGCCCTTTTAAGTCCGTAAACTTCCCCTCATGCCCAGACGGCGCACTGCGGGGTTGAATATACACAGGAAGGGACTAGCCGTCTGAGTGTCTGCCTGGAAGCCCTAAGGCTCGAGTGACAAGATCCCGACACCCGACCATTTCAGCCCCTGTTACATCAATTGGCAAACTGTTGCTACCTCGCCAGTAGGTGAAAGGCCAATTTTATTGGTTAATTTCCACGATTTAACTAATATGTATGACTGGTGCGGTTACCATTGGCTTTAGGCTGAAAGGAAAAAAACATCTCATTTGATCATCCAACCAGGAAATATCCTTGCATTATCTTTCTGCCACTTACGGGGTTCATTATGCATCCCCGAGAGTTAATATCTTCGTTCCACGCGGCTGCCCTTAAGAATAGAGCGGGAAATTTGCGAGATAATCGAGCATCCTATTTGGGTTTTGAGTAATTAAAGAAAGCATACCCATGTAATACAAATGTATAAGAAGGTATGGGAATCAATAGGCTCAAACTATTCATTCCAAGATAAAGAAACAAAAAGAGACAAATAGCGTGGGTAGTTGAAATGATTACTCCTTAAATTTCTTAAATCTCCTCGTATTCCATCCATGGTTCTCTCTTTTCTACCGTAAGATGGCTTTGTTCGACACACCCGTACCCTGACCATGCAACCCTTAAAATACTAGTGAATGAACATTTCTATACGGAGTAGCGGAATACACCCCCCGAGCCGGCCACACCACTGAGTCGGCCACCAAATTCAAAATATTTTCAATTTCCTACCTCAACGCGAAATTATGCCACCAATTCGTCGTAAAATACTAGAAACTCTAAGATATAGAGAAGACTTGAACTCATGATAAATGCCATTACAAAGCATGAAATAATCTCAATTTGTGCAGCTGCACATCTATATAAGGTGCCTCATACTACTCTGCAGTATCGACTTAAGGGCAGGCCTGCAAGGGTGAATTTATGCGTAAATTCAGTTAACTAGAGCTAAAAGGAATCTGCTAGGTCAGTGAATTCTTGATCTGACAATATGAGGAATACCCCCTTCAGCTGGCATTTGTTGAGAATATGACTAATCATCTTCTTACTCTACGGCATTTCATCTCTACCCCTTCTCACATTGGCAAGAACTGGGTCAATAAGTTGATCGAATGATGTATAAAACTTCAATACTGCTATTTCAGATACTACAATCATGAGTAAGTAAAATAAAAGAATATAAAAAGTTATTCAAAATTAATTTAAAACTTTAAAAAATATAATTTTTAAGTATAATATTTAATTTGAAAATATTTACAATTTTGATAAAACTAGATTTACAATAGAGTTTATATAATTATCAAAATTGCTATTGATACTAAGTACTACAGCTGAGTAAAGCTTTTATAATTAAGAAATCAAGAATAAGTAACTATAATTAAAGCAGTTAATATATTATACTAAGTTTTATTTTTATATATGATTCTCAAAGATTAGAATTTATAAAAAAGTTAATTTAATAGACTTTAAATGATTAAAGATTTGATATTAATTCTAGTAACTAAATTATAAATAAGATAAAATTTTAAATAATTTATTAAATTATTTATTTTTACTATTAATCTATATAAATTAATATTTATTTCTTATTTATTTTGAATAAATATAATAGTTATTTTATTTTAAAATTTAATTATATTTATAAAAGTATTAAAATTAATTACTTTTATATATTGATATATTTTTTATATTTTTTATAATTTTAAAGTATATAAAAATCTAATTAAATAGTAAATACAGTTTAAGTTTAATATTATCAAGAAGATAAATTTTTAAATATTTACTTTAAAATATATATAAAAGCTTTTAAAATTTAAAATATTTAAAGTAACTTTATAGTTATTAAAATAATATTATTTAAATCTGATCTGATCATTTAACAGTTAAATATTTAACTTTAATTTTTATTTCTTTAAATAATTTATTATATAATTTTAAATTATCTTAAATTTTATAAATATTTAATAATTTATGATAATTATATAAATAAAAAAATAAAATCAAAAATTTTATAAAATAAAATTTTAAAAACTTTCTCTGAAGATTAATAAAAAAAATTTAAAATTAAATTATTAATATTTATAAATATAATAAAATTAATATTATTAATATAAAAATAATATTAAAATATATTTATTATAAATTATAAATAAAAAAAATTAAAATATAAAAGATCTATATAAAATTCAATAAAAAAAAATTTAACTAAAGAGGAAGTTCAGGATCTAGTTATTTCATCTGCTAAGTCTATTGAACTATCTGTTTTTCAATTCTCTGCATCTTCACCAGTAGAATTTAGATCATGTATATATGCACTACAGAGATATAGTAATTGTAACACACTCAGACATACAAAAATAAGATGCCCCGAACCTAGTGTAATTTAATCTAATTTAATTAGAAATTGTTTGAATGTAGATATTTTGGTCAAATTTTTTTTAATTCTGCACTGTGATTTTGATGGCCGACTCAGTGGTGTTGCCGGCTCAGAGGTTGGATTAGTTAGTTATTTGTCAGGGACTTGACAGCGCCGCAAAATGAAAATATAATTGAATTTCAATATTCTGAAAAATTGTCATTGAAGGAACCTTCCCCCTTCAGCCGAACTTGTTCCATTTTGATACAACACCGCCATCTTTAATTCAATTCTCACAACTTTCAGACTAAGCAATGCAGGCGTTCTAGTAATAAGGAGCCTCTTAAAGAGGTAAATACTCTTATACCAGGCTCAAAAGCGGGGGGACAGCAGGCACTGTTACAAGAGGTTACTTACATAGCCAGAGCGCAGCTTTCAAAGATCAGGATGAAAACAAAACAAAAAAAGTACTTATATAATCAAGGGCAGATATATATGCAGAAGTTGAACTCTGGAGGCGCAAATGCATCCTTTTTAATGAAATGTTCGCAAAACCTTCCAATGACAGTGATTGTCTATGCTCTGATATTCCGTCTCTGGTCAATTTATGAACCACCTGATGGTGTTCTAGAACAATTTGAAGTTAGCATTAGCTGTTTTGCAGGTAATAATCCAAGTTAAAGCCGAAAAAGAGCTATCTCAGTTATATCCTCAGTAAAGCCATGATATAAGATGTACAACGCAACCTCTTCAGTCGCTAACTAGCTCTCTGCTGAGCCTCCACAATTCCAAACGTTGAGGATAGGGAGAAGTTGGGCAACCAGTTACTACATGACTTTCAAGCACGCTCTTCCTGAGCAGCAAAGACCAAAATGTTTCATTACATTATGTATTGGCAATTTCGACGATGCCTTTTTGTTTTCATTCAAAAGAAAGAGAAATATAGATATGATCAAGACCAAACCATCAAGCGCCGTCCGCAGACTCTCCGGAGTGACTTTGGGTGACGCCTAATTTGATTGCACTGGTGTCGGCAGATTTTTGGTGGCCTTCTCTTTCTAAGCCTCGCCGCTTTTGCTAATATTTTTGAACTCCTTGTCCAAAGCGCTTTAATTCAGACAGTATCAAGACGAAGCAGCAAGACGACAGCCAAATTGATCATGGCTTAAGTATATATGTAGAGCTCCTCTGTCGAGTGTGCACTCTCTGCAGTTTGCAATTTTCTTTAAAATCAAAGCTCTATTTCCATCTCTATATTTCTTAGGAAGAAGAGGTCCCAGCTTCTTAAAGAGACATCTTCATCTATATAGCTTCTTATTCATACGAGTAAAATTGCTAGTAGCTCAGCTTTAGTAGTTGTTAAACTAAGCTAATAACAGTTGTTTATCTCATTACTTTTCAATCTATCAAGATCATTAAGATAAAATAAAGGTAAACCCTTTCAAACTCTTACAGTCTGTGATATCTGTATATTCTGTATTACTAATACATCTGAACAACTATTGTGACGAATATCGCGAACGTATCTTCGTTCGGTGATCCTGCCATCTGGGAGTGGAGGCGGGCTACACTATAGTTATACGGGCTGTTTAGATGACGTGCAAAAGGAGGAGCGAAACCACCGGTCAAGGCTGGTTAACACTTATAAAACTATGTAGCTACTCTATTCTCTTTATAGATTAAAGGACAATAAAATTTTCAAAAAAGTAAACTTCTTTTTGAATTTTAAAAATTTTTAAAAATCAAAAAATATACGATCTTATTTATATCTATAAATAAATATATTGACTTTAATTATTGGAAATTTTTTAGATTATAAAATATAATAAATGTTATAGCATTATAAAAAATTTAAAATCTTTATAATCTTCAAAATCTTCTCTGTAATTTTATGATTTAAATAAAAGTTAATATAATTAAAATTTAATATTTAAATTTAAAGAACATTTATAACATTATATCTTATTAGATATTATATATGTTTTTAAATTAAATTTCTTTGATTTTGATGACTTTTTATTTAATATAAGTTAAACTTCAAAGGTAATTATATATTATGATTTTTAGGTTTATATTTAATTTTAATTTTATTTAATAATTGATTGAATACTTCTCATTTTCATTTTTAAATAAATATTAAATTTAATAAAGTTCTGTTATAATAAACTTCAGATAAAAATTCTTTGACAAATATATATTAATTTGAAAAAATCCATGAATAAAGTATTTTATTTTCTTGTAATGTTTTATAGAACTATATCACTTTAAAATTGCAGTTGCAGAAATATTTTAAATAATGCTTATATTTTATTTAACCATTTATCTTTTTGCTAATTGAATACTTATCATTTGTATAAATATGAGTAATATTTCATTCTTATTTTTTTTACTAAAGTAAATGTCAGACGTCAAAATGTACGGCCTCCGTACGGCCGTAATTACGTCGCTTAAATTTATTATCCGTTTGCGTGCCTCGACCCAAGGTTACGTTCCAAATCCTGCCTGCATTTTTGCGTTTATCGAGCCTTGACTTCCTTTTCATTCTCAAAATATAAAATAAATAGCTTTATACATATAACAGTTGAACAGTTGATATAATATATTAATTACATGAGCTAACTGAGTTTCTATCATTTAAAACATATAATAACACACTGTAGTTTATATTTTATGTTTAAATTTAATGAGTTTATAAAAATAAGATAAAAATACAATAAATTATAATATTTACAAAATATTTAATAATTTAAATTTTGGATAGTTTGAAAAGATTCAATCAAATTAATATAAATTTAATTATATAAATAGTCAATAATGTTAAAAATTTAAAGATAATTAGTTAATTTACTTTATTATTATTAATTTATATATTTCATAATTATTTATTCCCTAATATTCTAGATTTCAGAGTAGATAAAATCTTAATTTTAAGTAAAATTTAGACAATTGTTAAATTTATTTTAAATAATTAAACTAAAATATTAAAAATTTATAACTATTTATAAATTATTAAAGATTTTGAAGTTTTAAAAATTCATTATAATTTTCAGTAATATAAATAGATTTAAATTTTGATAAAAAACTTATAAAGTTTTTATTTTAATCTTATAAGTTCTATCTTTTACTTACTGATTTCATAATTATATAATTAAATATAATATTTTTGAAATGATTACTTACTCTAAAATGATCATATTAATTACATATTTAAAAAATATACTTTTATTAAGTAGAAATGATTCATTTTTGATATATTTAAAATCTTTAATAATTGAATAAATTATTTTATATTATTTCATTTTTATATGATTGTCTTCAGAATGAATAAATTTATTAAATAAAATAAAATAATAAGTCTGAAATCTTTTTACAATTATTGCAAAAAATATAAAATATTAATTCTATATTTAAAATTCAACTTCTTAGCAAAATTTCATGAAATTCAAAGAAAATAAATTGAAATTTATAAAAAAAATAGATTTATCTGATTTTTTTGAACTATAAAAGTTTTTATTTTTAAAGCTTTTTTAATTTATAAACCTTTTCATTACTTTTAATTTCTTTAGAACTCTTTGACATTTTTAGCATAAATTTGATTCATTTTGCTATAAAATTAAATATTTTAAAAGTTAATTAAAAAATTTTTGATTTAAGTAATGATAAAATAATAAATTAGTTATAATTTATAATCATTTATATATAATTTCTTTAATGATTTAATTTAAAATAATTATAAAATTTTCAACTATTTATTAATAAATGAAATTTAAAAAATTATACAAATTTTGCTTTATTTATACTAAGTTAAAAAATTTGATATTTCCTCATTTTTATTTAAAATGCCAACTATTTTTAATAAAAAATTAATTTAAATATAAAATTTCTAACTATTACTCACATTAAATGAAAATTTAATACTGTGTTAAAAATGTATATAAAAGATTATATTTCTATATTATTTTTTTATCATTTAGAGTTTAATTTATATATCTGCTAAAGTAAATTAATTCTGATTTATTTAATATAGATATTTTAAATAATTTTTTTTTTATTTTATTAAACCATTTCTTTTATTGAAAATTAATAGAAAAGTATTATATAAAGTAGTTAAGTATTTACTAGGTAAAATTGAATTAACTTCACATGAGTTTGAATTAAATTTCTTATTAAAATTTTGACCTTGATATTTTTTTTATTTCTTATTTTCAAACTTATAGATCTCTATAAGAACTTTATATATATTTCAATTTTAAATATTAAAATCAACAAGAACACCTTTCTCATTCTTTGTATAAATTTGCAATATTGAAAAAATGACTTACCGTTGACTGTATGTTTCAGCGACTGGTTAGAAGCTGGAGCCAATTATGAACAGGTGGGGATAATGTTTTGCGGTGTTAACAACAAAAATAATCATTGATACGTGAAATTCTCAGCTTAAACATTAGTTATTGGGGTCTCAGGCGTCTTGGAAAAGTTTACTAACATAGGAGCTCGCATTTTACCCTCCATCCTACAACAAGTAGTTTTCATAGACAATTTTTATGCCCTGAAGTCCGCAAAGAGCCCCCAACCCTCACCAATCAGATATATAGCCCAGCCAGACCGTTCGCGCTTCGATGCTATTCTCTTCTAAGTGTGGTGTTACTGTGAGAGCTTCCCCGAGAGCCAATCCAATACCCCCATCTGCACAGCTTGCGGCATCGCAAAAAAAAAAAAAAAAAAAAAAAACTCTACAGAGAATAATCTCAATCCCTTGGGATTAAAGAGTGAGACAAGTCTGTCTCAGGAAGATGGGATGTAGTTGCAGATAACATTAATGATTCGATATGTCGACCAACTTCAAAATAGCATGCCAGGGCTGGTACAAGCAGATCTCATGCTTTCCAACCTTTCCTACATGTCATGCTTCAACTACATCAAACGGCCACATCCTCGTTATCTCTTGGCGGTCCTTCTCACTCTCCGTGGTTGCCAAAACAGCCTTATATATGCGTTGATGAGTTTTCTTTACTTCCTCCCAGCGATCTTCAGGGATCCAGCCATGCTGCTCAACTCCCAACATGTCAACAATATCCTGTCTGACACCCAACATCTTGTCATAGATATCTAGTCGTTCCCGGTAAATGCGCATTTCCTCAAAGCTCAAGGAAGGGATAGGACAGTCTTCTTTAAAGCCAAGGTCTTGCCAGTGCTCCCTCAGCTGCATCAATTCATGAGTAAATGATACCACGCCATCTTTCCATGTCCGATGACAGCAGCGGAATGGCCGGAGGAGAGTCTCATCAATCTTTCTCACTGCCGCTAGCCGCGGAGCCAGAAGTCCCAACCTTTCTTCAAAAGCCTGATTGCAGAGACTCTTTTCAATGCTCTCTGGTGTTTCATTCACAGGGGGCTTCGCGAAATCAGGTACTTCATCTGCATAGTAGAATGCTGGCTCAATACTTGTAGATTGCCAATCAATGAAACCTGTCACAATAGTGGGATCATCCTCAGAAACAAAGATATTTCTCTTGTGTAGATCAGAATGGAAGAGAGTTGGGGCTGCATTAGATTGTATCTGAGGATGTCGCGTCAATTTGGAAAACAGGGCCTGACCTAGGCTCAAAAGTTCCAGATGCTCGCCCACGGAGCCCTGATAAGATGGTTGCTGATCAGTAGCAAGATTCTCAGCTGGGGGCAATCTTGCAATGCCGACATCAATTAAAGCAGAAGAGTATGAGAGAAGATCACTCCCTAAAGATATCAATAAGTAAGCAACTATGATATATTGAAGAGAGAAAGAATATCTCACATGGCCCCCTATTCGGCCCCTTAAATGCATAGTTCCTGGGCTCTCCAACATTGCAATCCCAGTATGTGTTTCTGCAATTCGGCCCAATGCAGTACTTGCAGTCACCATCCAGCTTTTGCTTCAAATCAGCTTCGAGAAACACTGCATCAGTAAAATAAAGACTGCCATATACTGGAAAGTTAAGTTCAGACATCTTCATAATATTTGTGGAAATTGATCTAATGCAATTCATTTTCTGGGTAAAGGACATTTTTGGCCACATTTGATACAGTGAAATGCCGCCGGCATGTTCCATTATAATGTAAGCTGAGCCAATGGGGTTGGACGGGTCATCACACCAGTCCAGGATGGTTGGAATTGGTATTTTGAGATGACGCTGCACTGTATGCACAAGTAAGGAAAGCTGTCACCCCAAATTTAGATCCTCTTGCATGTAAGCCTTACAGTAAGTAATTGTTGCGACTTCAGAGTTTGTGACAAATCTAGCTGATCCAGCAACAGATGTCGGAAACTTTGCAACAACGCGTCTCCCATCATCAGTTGTAATGATGAATGCTCTGTTGAAGCCACCCTCCAGTTTCTGACAGGCTTGGATTGAAGTGGCAGATGGACAGAGAGAGAGGACTTTCTCACACAGACAGTCAAAATTGAACTGTATGTACCGCGCTTCACGCTGCAGGTTGTCAAGATGTAGCCATCGACCGGAAGTGTAGGCAAATGGTGCTTTGTTTCACTGTTAAAAGTTATGAAGCTGGCCCAAAGGAGTCTTAAGCATGGAACTCACACTTCATGAATTGATGTTCCGCCATTGGTGCTCACGAGATTATTCCGGTGTCCACTTATCAGTGAAGTTTGCCCAAACTGAATGGGCTTGGGTCTTAAAAGGAGCAACGAGTAATCTGTGGCATCCCATTACCATTTCAGGGGCAATATGGACAGTGAACAGAGTAACTTCGAACTTGACACGATAGGAGTATAAACCCCCAGAGAGTGGGGCTGAGTCAACAGATCAATCACGTGAATGATAACTAGTATCTAAAACACGGAGTGAACTAGTTAACTTCGTTATTTGTTGGACTGGTTAATAACTTCCTGGCAAAAAGGCCCAATCGCCAGTACATAGTCTATAACTACTGGACGAAGGATGAGTCCAATCCCATAGGAATCACCTTGATCCCTAACATTTATACACCAGGATACGAGCAGTTGGCCCATTCAACATCATACCCCTACCCAGCTCATTTCCTTCCAGTCCCTGACTTTCGAGCCTTCTGAATAAACAAGTTCACTGAACCAAGTTCCGATACTCTTAATTACCTAAACGACAAGGTCTCGTTATAGCCCCAAAGTCACCCATCAATCTTTGAGCCGATTCTGTTGTTGCTGTTGTTGTTGTTGTTGTTGTTGTTGTTGTTGTTGTTGTCTAGTCAGGTGTTAACAAGGTGCAACGAAGAAACTGCTTTTATTACCTTCCAGAAGAGGGTTGTATAGCGGAAGAAACTTAGCAGTTTGATGAGAGGAGAAGCAGTATGACTTTGTTTTACCTTGAGAGTTTAAAAAAGTCCACTTGGGTTGGGGGGGGAGGGGCGGCGGCCACTCCAGTTATTGTGTTAACCTTGAGGCCAGTTGATTCCATGGACGTGATGAAAACTGCAACCTGAGCTCCTCAGCGGCAAGGCGAAGCAAACAATACCAGGTCTGCTGGGTGGTTCCCTCTTGGATATGCTGATCAGGGATGTTTCTTTGGACAGATTGTTGCATTTCTGCCTTTGGTCTTGCAGAATCATTAACTGGGTGCTGCCGGAATCTTGATGCAACGCCGCCGCAGGCCTGACTCGGGGAAATTGGTAGGATAGGTAGGCATTGGGACATAGCAACCCTCCCACGCCATTGTTGGCCATTGCTCAACCTTATACAGGTTCAGCCGGGGTGGGGCTGAAGAAATATGGAACTGGCTTAAGAATTTATTTATCAACCGCGAATTACGGGGAAGATGGCATTCGAGGGAAATATAAATGCATGGAATACGGAACAAAATACCTCAGGCCGGCAAACCCTCCCGCATCACGTTCCTCCCTCAGCAGCAGCCTATAAGAGTCTGCTTAGATCTGAAAATCCACCTTTAACACCATCATAAGCAGTTCTACCATTTATATCTCTCAGAGAAGTATCAGAGCCGGCTCTGAGAAGCAAGGAAACAATATCAGGTTGCCTGCAATCAACAGCGCAGTGCAACGGTGTTCGGGACCAGGATGGTGTCTGGTAGTTTGGATCAAAAACGACATGAAGCAGCATCACAACCAATTCCATGTATATTGGTCCACGGTGAAAATAAGCAAATCACCTGCTTGATAGCATCAGGTCAATTTTCTTTGAAAGAGGGAGCGGAGATGAAGATTCGAGCAAGTTGGAGAATGTCCTTGCGACCAAGGGCGCTGCTGATGGTTTTGTAAAGCTGACATTCTCCAACTACACATCACCTTTTGTTGACCAGTATCCTTAACAGTGGGGGATAGGCTGAACTCGGGCGGAATCTAAGATCCACATTCATCGAGAGAGTTTTGAAAAGATTCTCTTGCTTGTTGTTGACCGCCCCTCCCAAAGCGGTTGATATGGGTGCCGCGGCATGTTGTCATGAATGATAAGAGATCCTTCGGTTGAAGCAGGTGATTGATAAGAAGAAGAAATTTTAGTGGGAAGATCGAAAAAGAACTATTTTTTTCTGCCGAAGGGGGGAATGGGAATCTAAGGTTTTAGGCTGCGCGGGCTATGGTTGGGAGGGAGATACAGCAGTAGAAATAGAATTCCTCTTCCCGCCCCTCCATATAGACTTCGCGCTGTCCCGCAGCGCTATGCCTCGCAAATGCTCAATGCAATAAAAACCAGATTGAAGATATGCAAAGCAAAATTCATTTCAGGCGTTCTGTTTGCTAATCCATCGCAGCTGAACAATTAATCATCCGCGCCCAGGAATTCAGACAGTACTGGCGGCGCAACAGCAGAAGGCTTCGCAGAGAGTTGTCTCAAATCTCTCGTGCGAGTCAAGGGTTGAGACGATCCTGTCTCAAGAAGGCAAAAATATGATGGCAGATGACTGGCAGAAAGGCGACCAAACACTTGCTGGCAGATATTATCAGGAGAATGCATTCAAAGCAACCACCCAATGGAATATTGAGCCATCGCCATGGCGCAGCGAGAAAATGTTATGCGCCTTGCGCCAGCTCCCTCATCATAGTTACAAGTTACAGAGACTTACCCTGCTTAGTTCCTGTCTTCTCGATAAAGATAAGGGCGCCAGACCAGATATCAATTATACCAACGACAGAGTTCCTGCCATTCCGCCATTTTCCCCAGGCCCAATCCATTATCCTCATCCAGGCAGGGCATGCGGCGGAGCACCAAGAGCTTCCACGAGGAGGGCAAACAAAAATTTCAAGCGATGATGGATGCTTAGCAGTTAAGCAGCAAGAGCATAAAGTCTTCATATCAGTTGGGGCAGTGCGCCCTATCCGAAAAGGCACGCTATAAGTACTGGATGGGGAAATTATGCATGGTCGATTATACAGAATAGTTAGTAGAATCCAATTATCTACCTCGAGTAGAGCTGAGCTTCCCCAATTTTCATGTGTGGTCATCTGCAAAATTGGAATCTAAGAAAGTGGGGACCACGGTCTCCATCAGCTCTTTTCTTGTCTTATTTCAACTACATCTTACGCGCTCATCCTGATATATTTTTGGCCTTGTCTAACTTTCAGACAATTTGGCGTGGATTTGGTTGGGGTTTATGAGACAGCGGCTCAAAACCAACCCAGGCGAGTAACTACCTATTCAAGAGGATGTGGGTCAGTCAAAGGTACAAATTGCGAACGGTTGTTAGATAGTTACTCTGAAACAGCTAAGCGCTCTGTCAACCATGAATCCTTACTCCTCCTCACGTCAAACCACAGTGTGTAAATCTTTTGCCCCCCCCCCCCCCCCCCCCGCTAGGTTTGTGCATGATCGTTTAGTTTATGGTTGTTTCACCTGCTTAATCGAGGCCGTTTCTGACGTTAAATAGGCCTAAGAAGGGTGAAGTTGAGTACCCCATATAACTATCTTTGTATGGAAATTGGGCTTTAAGTCCCTGGTAAATGAATTAACTAAACTAACAATAATAAACTCGGACCACTCAGCTGCCCACATCCCGCAACTCAACCAATCTGTGGAGATGGCTCAAGGCTCTGTCACAACCTTAGGTACTTGGAACCTGCGTTGTCTTGACAGAAAGTCCCATTCACTCGCCGAGAAAAGGCTTTGTCTAACCTGGATGTCCTGGACACGTTGGAAAACTGTGATTAAAGGTAGATTTGGAAGACGATGCGTCCTTGGAACAGATGGAAAGGGACGAAAAAGGTAGTTAATGTGGGGTAGGACATGCATGTGATGAACACCCTCTGTCTACGTTAAGTGGGGACAATAGAGAGATGTGAATACATCCGCTGTAGTGGGAATAATAGTAATTAGCGGAGCTTGCTTGGCACAGTCCATATGCATTGCCGGGAGCTAACCATATAGACTTGGATAGCATTCATCGAAAGCGGGACTCCAGGATATTTGTTTGACCTCGTTGTGGAAAGGTCTCCATTTCGGTATTAACAGTGTGTTTGGGATGCAATAAGTGTTCTGCTTGCGCTCGCAAGGCCACGGCTCTAATCATCACCCTATTGTAATACATTGCAGCTTTAATCGCCTGTTTCTTCTGGTTTGGGTGGAGCTTTATGTCCCGTTCTGGGGAGACATGTATGTGCGAGGACGCTCCCGGTGGTTTCAACTCGACATCAAAATTTTGCGTCATGGCATCAAACATAATAGTGATTTGTCTCCTCCCGTTATTTTCGGAGCCTAGAATCCTAGATATCAATTCCACATCTCCCTGAACGATGGTTATTGATTGTTTACACTGAATGACTGGATATGCTGCCGAAGACATAAAAAACCCAGGCCTTTCATCAAGAGCAGGCTCATCAGCCACAGTCCAATTCTCGTAGGTGCCAGTATTTAATTTGGTCTCTACGCTAACGGAACACAAGAGTGCCAGAATAACATTTGAGTATGGTGTGATGCGATTTTTGTCCGACAGCCTCTGAGAGCATATATCCCCATTAAAACACGTGCTTTTTCCAAGTTACTTCTTTTACATCCTCCTTCGGCTTGAGAAGCAACTCAATTTCAACGCCAAATGCAAGGGTAGCAATAGGAGAAGACATTTTCAGGTCTATCTGCAAAGGGAAGTAAACAAAGAATTGTGAAAACTAGAACATGGGCTGAAAATGGTTTGAATAAAAGTGACTGAAGATGGTGGGAAAAAGAAGGCGGGGTTGCGTATGTTTCTAGTAATAGAAGAAGTGTGGGCTCTGCAAAAGCGTTTTACTGGATATTAGTGAGATAGATGTGAGTTCTCTATCTTCGTCAGTATGGGATTTTGATGGTGTATAATTCCATCGGCTGCGCTGCTGCCATGTAGACCAGGCAGCAGGGAAGCAGCAGCACCCGGTGAGCTTTTCTCGAGCCCGATCATTTTCAAGGTTGCATGTTGGAGAGAACAATTGGCCAGCATTCTCGCTCACTGCGATCGTAGACTTAAGAGCCAGAAGCTAAGAGCAGAGCGAGCAAAAGAACTGAACATATCCATCACGGAAAGTTTACCGCGAAAGCAGAACGCTTGGAGATACTGAAATCAGTGACATTGATGCCAAGTGAGAAGGGTATTGTCAAGAGAGCCAGAATTGAGGCGGGGGTAAGAACCCATTTCACACGAAGCACTGAATGCCAAACACAAACAAAATAAACAAAGAAAGAAATGGAAGCTTTAAAGCCCCTGGCTGTTACGCCGCATATGTTCAAAATCGTGACATTCAACTGGTGTCTTCATATGAGAGCACTTGACCAGCTCAAACCCAGAAAGCGAAAGCATTTCGCTCGACTAAATTTGGATAATAGGAACACTCTCTGCTTAGCTTGCTCTCAAGTAAACCATCATATCCACCAAACTATTGGGTAATGGGAACATATCGAGTCACTGCCAGGATGATTTCGATGCGCTCTAATTTCCCGAGACGTCAGATTTTTATATCCCGAGGTCCATCGGTGGCCAGTTGGCGGGGTAACTTTAGAGTTTGAGGCTCCTTATTCCACGGCGCTTGCAGCCTTGGCGTCTTGGCATTCGCCCATGCGTAACTTTGACGCCGCCTTAGTTAATACGATTTTGTATTCATCCTTCCTCTGGGCGATGAATATCAGCTTCTTCCACTATAATGCGTAAATGGGTGAGCTCTCTGTTTTCAGCATTCAACAGGTAATTTTGATGTATGGTTGAATGTTTGCTAGGAGAAGTAATCATTTATTGAGGAAACTTAGTCATTCAGAATTAGTTTAAAACAATCCAACCAACATCCGCCCCTGGTTCATCGCTTGGACGTGACGATATTCCTGCTTTACTACAAATTACTTAAGCATTTTGCCGTCAATACTGCAAGGTGCACTTAGTTTCTTAGTTCTCCAAAATTTGTAGTCATTGAGAAAGCTGAATCTTCATTGATCCACTAAGGCAAACCCTAGGACAGGAGCTCAAGTTGAAAGTATACCAAGTTAAAACCTAGAGAAAATTTCCCATGGCTCGCTGATGCATTCATTCGATGCTAAAGGGGGGGCCCATGGACTGGAACTTGCATTTCATTGTCATCGTGTTCAAAGCCGGTCCAGTCTTGTCATGTTGAAAATGCTGATGGAGATTTCACCAGACTTGTGGGTGGCTGGTGAACTGTACACACAGGGAAGCGTTGGGTCGAGATACAGAGAATACAAACACAGAGAATTGGGATCAGTGAGACCTTTGGTAGAGCATAGTCAGAGACACAGCTGATTGTTTTCTTTGGAGTTAAATAATAAGAAGAGGTGCATGTACTTTGCACCGTTGACACTCATTCTAATCACATGCCTTCCTTTATATAGTATAGATCTCGGCTAGCTAGTTCAATCCTTACAACAACGTTATTCTTTCAAGACACACCGATGCCTGGTTCTGAGGATAAAGTTGACTCTACGGTAATGGGTCCGGCCGATGACTGAATATGTATCCAATGGGTTAACTTGAATATTACGAGGGTAAAATCCCGTCGAAATTGCCACTTGATTTATTGCGCGAAAGAACCTGTTAGCACCTTTTTGGAAATGCAAGAGTCGAAGGTAAGAATTACGTGGACTTTTTTTTGACAATTTGGAACACTCAAAATTCAGAATAAGAGATTGGGAACATCTGGGCAATTAGTGGCGGCTTCTGTGTATAACTACCTGTCATCTACAACGTCATGCCATCGAGGAGTGGGGTAGTAGAAGTGCCATACGGTAAAAGGCAGGCTTGACTTGTTGTCCTTTGATACATATTCTAAAGGTAGGTGAGCAACCGAGGATATCCGAAGGGACTGATACGGGATTCGCAAGGCCATAGTATGTAGCAATTTCACGGAGGAAAAAGAAAAACAAATCTCCAGCTATTTTGCATTACATGAATGACTGACTGATTGCATGTTTCTTTTCAACTCTCCATACCCCCATCCACCTCCTCAGAGCCACAGAACGATACATTAAAAGAGCCATCCCAAACTGAAACATCTGAAACCCTTGGAAGAAGGGGGTGGAGAGGAGAGGGGACTCGAAGAAATCACTCCCGCGCAAGGGATGCACGAACTTGGAACAACCGTTTGAGTGAGTGATATATGGATATAAATTTGGTACGCAGGCGGTCGGGTAACTAGCGGCATCCCGTCAATTTTTGCGGCACAGCGTATGTCTGTATTTGGGAACTGGGTGCCCCGTAGTCATGCATTGATATGTGCCCTTCTGCATGCACAACCACTCCGTATATGGGATGTGACTTATTATTGTTGTTTTTGTTCCATAATGCAAGAACGGAGATGCTGTGTGTTCCGTTGGACATTTTGTCTTCTTGTCCAACGTATGTGTGTATGTGTGTATGTATGTACTGCAGCACCTGTACACTACACTACAGACACGCCTCTGGGAATTCCCTGCCCCTTTTACGCCATGCAGGGTATCGTGTATGACGCATCATGTACGTGAAGTCACGTTGACTGGATATGCAGGCCTCTGGATGGCTGCAGGTGGTGTCCATGCCAAGCTGTCGGTGCATACATACATGTGTGGAACCAAACGGATTTTTTTGTTCGAGGTGAGTGGTGTTATTGTGAGGTTTGTTCTCATTGGTGTGCTGAGAGTTTCCCTTTTTTTTTTTTTTGTTCCTGTTCTTCTATAGTTAACATGTATGAATTTTTAGCAGTTCGTCTGCCTGGACCCTTACGTTGGCTGCTGTTGATAGGGCTGGTAGTTAACATCGGAAACTGTAAAAAGGGTTTCTAAGTCCACGGAACTCCGTGGAAAAGTGATATAAGTTGATAAGTAAACGAAATAACCGCCCACCTTAGCGCTTCCATGACATCACAATCTGACGTGGAGTTCCCATGGATGAGTTTGCGATGGGATCCAGGCGCCGGTTCTGTTTGTCGTCGCTGCAAAAAGGGGGGTTACAATGATAACCTTGGGAAATATTCCTCCATCTAACATGTGTAAGAGGGGTTTTTTGTTTATTCTAAAATGTTCCATATTGGGGCATTATTGTAATTATTAGTAATAATGAGACATGGTTCCATCTGAGGTGTTGGAAATGCTTAATGGGGTTAATAAGTTCCTGTAGGATAGTTAACTGTAGTTAACTAGTTAGATGTAACTAATCCCACGGGCCAAGTGATGACACGAAATTTTACCCTATCTGCCCGCGTACCTACGGAGTAGGTTGCGGCAGATTGAGTCTACCTTCACATTTGATTCCCCTCCCCTGCTTTCACTTTTTCCGTCTCTAGGCTAGGGCTTTGGAGGTTTGTCAAAGAATGATTAACCCTGGAGGTTCGTTAGTGGGAATTTCAAGAAAGAATCTTTTTTTTTGGCCTTTGAATCTGACAATCCTCTGTTAGTAACTAATGCGCAGGAAGCAAGGGGATATAATTGCAAGGCTACGTTGTTCAATTAACCAGTGATGTGTGCTCGTCAGCCGTAGATTCAAGGTGAATTGAGAGTTGACCCCCTTTTTCAACATACGCAGCATAAGAAGAGATTTCATCCCACCATCCCTCACACGAGCATATCATGCAAGTGATGTGGTTGAACTTGCTATGATCATCATAACCCCGTGAATGTAGGGAAGCACCAAGGACTAGGGAAAGGATTTCATTATTGATCCAACAGGGGAGCAGGGGAATTAAACGATGTATCTATATATACGTGCATAAAACGGGAGGGGTGTGTTTCCACCCATCCATGTTTCATCTGCCGGGAAATTATCAGCGTGTGTCGGTGTCAGCGGCAATGTTGCAGGGGTTGCTGGTCGATGAGAGTAACTGTGGAAAATAATGTGATGGATTAAGGAGCAACCAGTGGCATTAGGATTTAAGCTGCTGTTGTTGGTGGGGTTTGACAGGCTGCGGCTACATGTTTATTTAAAGAGATCTTCGTGAAGCAGGGACGTAAATGTTTGGGGATACGACAGGTGTTTCTCTCGCATTTTCATGCAACAGTGGAACTCAAAAAAATCTTGTAATCGTCTTAGCTTGGTTATTCAGAAAGAGACAGATTTTTTCTTCCACCCTGCGTTGCCTGCTGCAGCTAAGCTGGGTGAGTGAGGGGGCGCGGGAGGGGGTCGAACAAGGCTCATTACTCATTTGTGGAAATCTCCCTCATACGTGGCGAAGTGAAAGAAACATAGATCCGTTCAGTATATGAAACGACCATGTCGGGTCTTGATTTTTTCACTTTCCAAGACAAGATTCCAACCCGACCGGTTTGTGCATAAAGTATATCATGTGAGTGGCAGCTTGCCGATAAATAATTCACTACCCCAGCCACAACATGACACAACAATAGACACAATCACACAACACACCATCACAGCCACACCTATCCACAACCAACACCCACATCGATACCGACACCCGCCCGGTGCCGGAACGGTTAGCTCATTCAGCCTCTGCCAGCGGCCTGCGACCAGCATCTAACCTCCATCCACCATCGCCATCCGCCATCCACCATCCGCCATCCGCCATCCGCCATCCGCCATCCGCCAATCCCCTCAACCACCCCGGCAAGACTACCACGGAAGATATCCCCCAACCCAAATCTATCTAAGCCTCAGCTTTTAACCTCTCCTCCTCAAGACATGACAAGCCACGAGACGACACGACACTTCGGGAAGGGGAAGTGGAAAAAAAAAAAAAAAAGGCAGGGTGGGTCGTAGGGGTGACTAGCGTGCTTAGTCTCATGCTAGTTTGGGGAGGGGGAGGGTGCGGGCTGTTTTATGTCGGTGGTTCGGTTATATGTGGAGTGGAGTCCCCAAGTGGGAGAGTGTTTTGAGTTTGGTGTGGATGTGTGGGTTTGTGGGCGCAAGTGCGAGTTGTGTGGATCTGTGGCATCCATCTCATTCTCCGCCAATCCATCATGATTCAAGGGCTGCTTGACGAAGGTTGGCACAGGTAACAGAACGGAGTGTAACTAGTACCTCCAGGCTCCAAGGCTCACGGATGGAGCGAGCAGAAGGGGCATAGTGTCGCCAAGGACGGTGGACTTTGTGCAGCGTGAGAGTTGGATGAAGCTGCAAGCTCTGGCTGCTAACTACATACGACTGGGATGTTGCAAGGTTACTGGTAACACTTAACAATATTATTTTGACTGCCAAGGTGCGACCCTTGGGCGAAGACTCAAAAGTACGACAGTAGACCAGGGCTGAAAAGGTTTGGCTAAAGAAGGTTTGAAAAAGGGTTTTGCAAAAAGGGAAAAAGAAAACATGGAAAAAGGGTAAAAGGGTTGAAAAAAAAAAAAAGAAAAGAAAATGTTAAAAAAAAAAAAAAAAAAAAGAAAGAAAAAGAAAAAGAAAAAGAAAAAAGCTTCGGCTCCACAGCTTGGCAGCTTGGCTTCCCCTAGCCTGCCTCGGTGACTTGGAACAGGGTACGGAGGTTCTTAGCGGCTCTACGGTTCCAAGGTTGCTGCGGGCTTAGCCGAGTCGGGCCAAGTCGTTGGGATGGGAATCATGGGAAATCACGGGATGGATCTATGTACCCCTGATGCCGATGTAGCCCTCTTTTTCTGGTCAGATCCATATGATTTACTAGGTTATCCCCCATCCCATTTCTCGATGCTGCTTAGTCATGGCATCGTCATTTCAATCACCAACTTAACTGCTAGTAAGCTGGCTAACCAGTTTATCCGTTTCCCATCTGTGATAATCATTTGGAATGGAAATATATCTCGCACGAACTTATGGAGAAATCGATCCATCACCCGCTCAGCCACAAGAAATTCCTGTCTTATTATACTTATTATTGTTCCCCACACCGCGTTGATTTTTGCGCAGGAAGTCATGTCTCGTATTTTCAGCCTTTCAATTGATTTTCTCTCTCTCTCTCTTTTTTTTTTTTTTTTTCCCCTCTTCTTCTGCTTCTCTACTTTTGTTTCTAAAAAAAATCATAGTCTCCACTTTAAACCCTGCCAACATCATCATCCTCCATCGTCAGCGCAGCAAAAACAGTGCAAAAGGCCAGCTGTATATGTCCATGCCTTCCTAGTGGCGTTGCTTGGCGTCGCCGCCGTCACTGGCGTGGGTTCTTCTTGGCATGTTCCATTTGGCATCCGTTGCTTCCACCCGGAAAAGAAAAGGGTGCATACATACATGGACAACAACAAACCACCCATGGTCCTTGCCCAGATAATATTAATACCCCCGCAAGTTGCAGGTGGGCTAATCTGGGCCCCCTGGAGCATGCTTATTTTTATTTACCCGGGTGGACCGAGGATGAGGACCACACTGAATCGGCATATAATATATATATATATATATATACTAGATGTATAAATATATATATAAATGCTTTTCTCGTATTATGTACGGTGCAGATGACAGGATATTTATTATCAGCTCTGAAACAAAGTTCACATCCGACAGAGTGTGCTTCGTAAGCTCTATATATCTAGTTATTCAGCGTTTAAACTCTGCCGGGGTTTGAGGCACAGCTTTGGCCTAAAGTTTGGCCGAAGATTTGGAACTAGCGAAGAAGCTCGGGGCGTGGCAGGCTGGCACAGTTAACTAACTAGTTAACTAAGTTAACTTCTCTTAGTCATATCAACGTACTTCAACCACCTACTGGATCACTTCCGCACGTGATATAGTCTAATTTAATAAGCATCAATAAAATATTATGCAGCTTTCATACCAATTTTTTTATTTTTATTTTTTTATTTTTATTTTTTTTTTTTTTAATTCCCTTTCACAGCAATTTTTCCATAGAGTAATTCCTGGTACATAACAGGCTCTCTTTCTGTTCTCTAGCTTAGGTTAAGCATGGATTTCATATTTCCTCCAGTCGTATGGAGCATGTGTATGCACCCTCCTTACGGTTGGTGTCTTAGGACTGGAAGCCCTGTTATGTACTATGGCCCGGGGGGGGGAGGGGGTGTTAAATAGAGTTTTATATCAGGTGACGTTGATCCAAGTGAAGGGGGGTGTATGGTGCAATACGTTAGGCCTTCCCCCCCTCGGTCTTCTTTGGTAAGCAAGGCCAAGCGTGCCCGAGCAGGGGCCAGGGATCCCATGGGATGCTTTTGCCATTTGCTTGCCGTTGTCTGGGAAGCCTAGGAACGCCGAAACTCTCGCCGCGAGGCTATGCCTATTGGGGCTAGGCGGGGAGGCACCGACCAGCTAGTCCCGAGGAAGTCGCTGTGTGGCTCTGGAGTCTGAGGTAAAGGTGCGAGTGGAAAGTGTGGAAAGTGTGGAAAGTGTGGTAGCGCAAAGTGTAAATATGTAAATATGTTCCCCCATCTGATTGCCCAGCAACTCCCTTCCCACTAGCGCCGAATCTGCCCGTTCGCTGGCTGTCTCCCATCTTTTCCCATCTCTCTCCCATTCTTTTCCATCTTCCCCAACCACAATTTTTTTTTTTTTATTTTCTGCTCCTTCTGCTTCTCCGGCTCCTTCTGCTCCTTCTGCTTCTTTGCTGCTTCTCTCTGGCCTCCTTCCTTCAATTTCCTGCTGCATACATGTGACTCTCATCGTGTGACTTCCTTCGCACATTCTTGCTCCTTTCTTCTTGCTTGCCCTCGATTACACTTTCCTCCCTTTCTACGGTTCCGCCTTCCTTCTTTCCTCCGCCCTCTCCTTTCGTCCTTTACATAATCCACGCTTCCTGTCAATTCTTTCTTCTTGCCATCCGCCATCCCATCATTCTCTCTTTTCAATCCAACGTCACCACTACAACTGCAGCTACAGCTAGCTACAACTGCAAAACTCCATCCAACATCATCATCTCACCCCCGCCCGAGTTATCTGCTTCGTTATCTCCTTCATCCCCTCACTTCATCGAATGCCTATCCGCCTCCTACCACTCCAGGAGGGGCTTTCCTCGCCGATCGCTGACTCAGTAATCGCCTCACACTCACGACATCCATCTTATCAGGCTCCGCCCTGAGAGAAAGAACGCATACATCCTATCCATTCTCTTCTGTCTTTTGTCTTCCGCTTTGATATCGCAACATCACGTAGGATAAGATATAGCCACCACAAAGAGAAAGACAGAGAGAGAGGTGAAATTCCAGAAGGAATACAATGTCCGCCCATCCACAGCCTTCGCCGCCTGGAGGTATCCATCCCCACCATGGTCCCCTCCCTGCCCATCCCCAGGTCAACGGCCACGTGCCCATTCAGGGCCAGCAGCAGCAGCAGCAGCAACAGCAGCAACAGCAGCAACAACAGCAACAACAGCAGCAACAACAACAGCAGCCGCCCCAACAACAACCGCAGCAGCCGCCTCAGAAACCCATTCCAAGCCCTGTCGCGCAGAAAATTGCTATGCTTAATGAGGGAGTGTGGTTGCAGATTGGTTAGTGGCTATATATTTTATTTAAACTCTCAATATATATATATATATGTCCATATTAAGTTGTTTTATATGGCCTAACGTCTAATAGGAAGTTTATCCGAATTGATGGGTGATCTGGATGGCGCTATGAGCGCATACGAGCAGGCCCTTAGACATAACCAGTGGTCCATTCCCGCTATGAGTGCCATCTCTTGCATATTGCGCACGAGGGAACAGTTTCAGAAGGCTATTGAGTATCTGCAGACTATTATCAAACTGGATCCCACTAGTGGGGAGTCTTGGGGAAGTCTAGGTTGGTTCTCTCTCACTTTTTTCTTTAGTTTTTTGTCAGTATGTATATTTGCTAACCTGAATAGGACACTGCCATCTTATGATTGACAACCTGCAAGAGGCATATACTTCCTATCAACAGGCGCTGTATCATCTGAGGGATCCCCAAGTTCGTTGCCCTCATCCCTTCCTTAAACGGAATTCATTTACCAACAAAATTTCTAGGAACCGAAACTATGGTATGGAATCGGCATTCTGTACGATCGATATGGCTCCCTCGACCACGCGGAGGAGGCTTTTTCTCAGGTCATGCGCATGCAACCTGATTTTGAGAAGGCAAACGAGATCTACTTCAGACTTGGCATAATATACAAGCAGCAGCAGAAATTCAACCAGAGTTTAGAGGTGGGTGCCCGTATCTCGTCATCTGTAGATAATTGTACTGACCTCAAGATATAGTGCTTCAAATATATCGTCACGGATCCCCCCCGTCCCCTCACCGAGGAAGATATCTGGTTCCAGATCGGCCATGTCCATGAACAACAGAAAGACGTAAGCAAATACTTACCCTCCGCATGATCTCTATATATGTCTCATTGATATTGACCCCCGCGCTACACAGTACGACTCCGCCAAGGCTGCTTACAGACGGGTACTGGACCGGGATCCCAATCACGCAAAGGTACTACAACAGCTCGGATGGCTCCACCACCAGCAGAGCAATAGTTATAGCAGTCAGGAACAAGCCATCGAATACCTAGAGAAGTCTGTCAAAGCAGGTATGTCATTACTATTCATTCCATTTATCCGAACCCAACCACGCGACGATTTGACTCTGACTTTCCCTTCCAATCTCTAGATAACGGCGACGCTCAGAGCTGGTATCTTCTTGGACGGTGCTACATGTCCCAAGCGAAATATCCTAAAGCATATGAGGCTTATCAGCAAGCGGTCTACCGTGATGGACGGAACCCTACATTCTGGTGCTCGATCGGCGTGCTGTACTATCAAATCAACCAATATCGTGATGCGCTTGATGCTTATTCCCGAGCTATCCGTTTGAACCCTTATATTTCTGAAGTATGGTATGATTTAGGAACCTTGGTAAGTTTCGAAACCTTATATTCTGTGCTAAACCTTGTTTTTCGCCCGCCTGATTTTTTTTAACTTTTTTGTTCTAACATTTTGTTCCTTGCAGTATGAATCTTGCAATAACCAAACAAATGATGCCTTGGATGCTTATCGACGTGCCGCGGAGCTAGACCCGACCAATGTTCACATTAAAGCCAGGCTCCAACTCCTTCAAAGTGGCCAGGCAGGTAGTGCTAACCAGGGTAATGCTCCGGTTCCTCAAGATGTCAATCCGCACACATATCAAACACCGGGCGTAGGCATTCCTCCTGGACATCAATGGGGACCTCCAACTGGTGGTCCACCGTCACAAGGCCCGGCCCCTGCTGGTCGTATTGACAATTGGGCTCGAGGTGTGAACGATCAGGGACCTCAACAACGCCCTGCCCCCTTTGACGGCCGTGAGGGTCCACGAGGCCCTCCTGGCCCACACAGTCCGCGACAGGAGCACCAATCACTCCCATATCCAGAACAATCGCAACACCCCGGTGCCCGCAAGGGAGGTGGAAATGGAGGACTCTCACCATCACCGAAATTTCCCATCGCTGCTCCAAACACATACTCCGGCCCGCAAACCCTCCCACAACTGGGTCCCTCATCTCAACATCAACATGACCGCAATCCCACTAACGGTAACGGCAACGGCACGTACAATGGTGCTGCACGACCTCCCTTAACACAACCTGCTGGCCACGCACAGGTTCCGCAAAATGGCGCACCACCCACCGGTGGACCGCAGCTGGCACCCTACGTCCGGCCCTACACACCACCAACTGAAGTCCGCCCGCTCCGCGATGAGCGACCTGGCTCACCAGGTTCGTCATACCCGCCACACCAATACCACCCTGGTCCTGGCCCTGTTGGAGCTCCGCAGGGTATTGCATCCGGTGCACCGCCTTCACAATCCTCCATAAGCGCTGCAGAAGCTGCTGTGCGTGATCGAGAGCGTGACCGTGAGCGCGAAGAAAGACCCGCATCATCTATGAAGAGGGGACGCGAATGGGAACCCGATCCGGGCCCTGGCAATGGGCCCCCGAAGAAAATTGCGAATGAGGAGAGTCGGGCAAGGCTCGATGAGGGGGGCCAGTCTGTTTTGGCAATGGGGAGGAGATTGTCACCCCCTGGACAACAGGTTGGGGTGGGTAGGGAGAGAGATAGAGATCGGGAGCAATTGCCATCGCCGAGAGATTTGAGAAGAAGGGATTCGGGCGAGGGACAGCAGGGGAGAGATGAACAGCGTCGTGCTGGTGGACATGGACATGGACATGGTGGTCTTGAGGGATATCATCCGTCTGAGGTCGCGCATCATCCGTCCACTCTTCCTTCTTTTCAGCATATGCAGGTACAGGGACAGTCGCAGCCGGGTCAGGGTCAGGGACAACCGCAACAGCAAGGTCCACAACCTGGCCCCGCAATGGCACCCATAGCTGAGGGTGGGGCTCATCAGTCTGGCCCGTTGCCATCATTACAGACTGTGGCGACGGGGTCGGGGCCAGGTCCTACGGGCCCATCGTCGGCCGGATCGGGTCCTGGCTCCAGTGGGGTCAAGGAGGATAGGGATCGGGAGCGGGAGAGGGGTAAAGATGGTCGGGATCAGGTATTGGGACAAGGGTCGGGATCTGTTTTGCATGAGCCGCCGGCGAGGAAGATGGACGTGGATGAGGATTATGATGATGAGGGAGAGGAGGGAGAGGGGAGGGAAGGAGAGAGGGAGAAGGGGACTAGAGCGAGTCCGAGAGGTGGTGGAGGGCGAGGAGATGCTAAGGGGGAGAGGAGAAATGGTGAGATGAAGGGTGAGTGATCATTGATGTTTATAACAAGTTCTTCATGTTCATTATTTTATGTTTGTCTTTTTGTGTGCTTCTTTTATGTGTTCATGCTAGTTATTCTTATGTCTTTTTTTATTATGTCTTTTTGCTGTTATTTTTTGCAGTAGTTTTTACTTTTATGTGTATATTCATTCACCTGGCATATTTTTTTTTTTTTTTTTTTTTTGATTCTGTTCGTATTATTACTACAGCCTTTAGGTCTGGTTTTGTTGCTTGTCACATTTTGCTTTTGCCTCTTGCTTTGGTTTCGATTCTCCTTTCTCCTGTTTTTCTTCTCACTTGAATCATTTAGAGATTGGGGTACTACTTATTTTCTGCCCTGGAAGAGTAAGCAACTAGTCAACTCGTTTTACCTAGTTAGTTTGCGACATTTTTGTTATGTAATCTCAGTGAGACTTTTCCCTCTTAAAAAATCCGTTTTAAGATTAAGGTTGAGGTCCGATGTTTTTATATTCAGTTTAGGTTTACATTAGGTTAAAAATGATTTTATGACATTGTTTTATCTGAAGCTTGATGAAGTTTCGGCGTGTTTCTGAATGAGTTACGGCTCCGAATTTGTAGTGACGTAGGTGTATACAGAGATATTATTATTATTGTTATTATTTATTTATTTATTTATTTATTTTATACCTGAAAAAAGAAAAAAGAAAAAAAAAAAAAAAACCTGGATGGATCAATCAGATAGAAGGGCATGGCAGCGTTTGGTAACTATTGGTAACCACCTGACTGGAAACGCAGGGACTCACTGACTGACTGAACTACAGTGTAGCACAGCATACACATGCATAACAAGAGCCGTGGTGGACACGGGATCGATTTGATTGTCGTCATCCGTACGTGCCCGTCCCCCAGTGCGTGGCTCAGCCGCCCCGAACCAAAAGTGGAAATGAACATCGATGGGTAAACCGGGTTACCGGGACACCCGGCATACCCGGCATACTTTTAGTTGTCTATGTAACTATGTAACTACGGGGCCAATTTTACAGGTGGCTCTGGAAAAACAAATTCACTGCCCTTTTTTTTTTCTCTCCTTTTTTTTTTTTTTTTTTTTTTTTTTTTTTTTCCCTTCTTTTCCCCAGCGCAACCCCGAACCCCGTGTATTTATTGCCCCCTTGTCTCTCCCCGTTATCTAACGCACTCTGTCGCACTCGTGGCCAAGGCGGGCGAGGGCCTGGTTCCGCCGCGACTTGTCAGCCCAACGGCGAGCGGAGGTGTGAGGCCCTTGTGCTCTCGGGAACTGGGGAGGGCTGGCGGCCGGCTGGGTGGTGCCTGGTTGGATTTCATCTCACGCCTCGAGACAGAATGGACGATATGAGATTGGCCCGGTTGAAGAAGCATCGGGCGGGCCAAAGAATAAATAATAAATAAATAATAAATAATAAATGAATAAATAAATAAGTCAATGAGCGGGATGGGAACAAGCTATGAACTAGAATATCTAGAGCTCCCGGCTCTTTTTATTTACAGGGGCCAGGGCTAATCGAGAAACCGCCTCGCGTCTCACGGGCTTTTGCTCGACCGTTCCAGCTTGGTGGGCGTCCGCCCGCCGACAAGACGAGCAGACGGCGCTGGGTGGAGTGTTTCCCTCAGCTTTTGCGTGCTGGCTGGTGGCTGGTGGCTGGGCCGGCATGCTGCGTCTCCATGACGGCCTCTGACGCACAGCATCACAAGGAAGAGAAGGAGAGAAGAAGAGGAGAAGAGAAGAAGAGAAGAACTGCAGCGTTTCGATGGTTCGTTTCGTTGCTGGATTACTAATTCAGCTCAGCGATGCGCACTGTTTGTCCCACATATTGCAGCTGGGTCACATGACCCCGCTCCACCAGGGACGCCAAGAGAGTGCCAAGAGGGCGCCAAGGCTGGGCGGTGATGGGGAAGTTTTTGCGTGTTGTAGTGACTTGTGTAGTACTTGTGTAGTACTTGTGTAGTGACTTGCGGAGTGACTTGTGGAGTGACTTGCGGAGTGACTTGTGGAGTGACTTGCGGAGTGACTTGTGTAGTACTTGTGTAGTAACTTGCGGAGTGACTTGTGTAGTACTTGTGTAGTAACTTGCGGAGTGACTTGTGTAGTACTTGTGTAGTGACTTGTGTAGTGACTTGTGGAGTGACTTGCGGAGTGACTTGTGGAGTGACTTGCGGAGTGACTTGTGGAGTGACTTGCGGAGTGACTTGTGGAGTGACTTGCGGAGTGACTTGCGGAGTGACTTGCGCAGTGGCTTGCGGAGTGACTCGTGTAGATAACTTAACTTGCGGTAACTTGGCATTGGGATTTTCTCTGCGGGAGTGAACATTAGATCTACATGCAAGTAGAGT